CGGCGGGTGGTTCGGCGGCGGCGGGTGGTTCGGCGGCGGCGGGTGGTTCGGCGGCGGCGGGCGGTTCTGCTGCAAGCTGCGGCGTAGCAGGTGGAGCTGGTGGACGAGCGCCTCCTTTTGCTGCACGAGCTCGTTCTGCTGGTCGCGCAGGCTCGTCGTCTCCTCGGCGTGCAGCCGGCGCGCCCGCGCAAGCTCCGTTTCGTGCTCGCGCCTCTGCCGCTCTCGCTCTGCCTCGTGGGCGTGTCGAGCCTCTCCGATCGCGGCCGCGTGCTGGCGCCGCTCCTCCTCCAGCCCGCGCCTCGCCTGCTCGACCGCCTCGGCGCGGGCACGGCAAGCCTCGCCCGCCTCGCGCTGCGCGTCGTGCAGCTTCATCTCGACGCGCCCGCGTTCGGCGTTCGCCGCGCTGAGCTGGCGTCCCGCCAGGTCGGCTCGCTCCGCCAGCGACTGCGCCAGTGCGCGCGCCTCCCTCGCCTCCGTGGCCAGCGCCGTCTCCCTCGCCTGTGTCGCAGCAGGGGTGGGCGGTGGGCGGTGGCCGAGGCAGGATGGGTCGGGCACGGCTGCGCACGGTCAGCGCACCTTGCACGCGCTGATCTCTTTCCGCTGAGACGCGAGCTGCGCCTCGGAAGCGGCGACGAGGCTCCGCAGCTGCTTCTGCTCGGCCGCGGCCTCACTCGGGTTGAAGGCGGGCGCATCCGCGTTGAGCTTGGGCGGCGGCTTCGGCTTGAACTCAGGTGCCGCCGCGCTGAGCTTGGCCTCGCTCGCCGCGCTGTCGCTGCGCGCCGTACCGGCGATTGCGTGCGTGCCGTGGTAAGGGATGGGCTCGAGAGGAGTAAAGGCGTTGTGCGGCGGCTGCGCCCCAATGAACGCCTCGGCGTGAGGAGTCAGATCTGGCGCGGGGATGAGCGAGCTCGGGGTAGCTGGGCTGAAGGGCGCCGCGTGGTAAAAGGCAGCCAGGCGGGTACGGTCGGCGGCCATCTCTTCCTGCCAGAGGCAGGCAGCCTCCCTCAAATCGCCCAGAACAAAAAAAACTATATGCTAACATCGAGGGCTAGCTCAAAGTCCGCAGCAAACCTCCGTCCGGAAACGCAAAGTGCTGCTGCTGGGGACCCTCTCACTCTTTGGTTCCCTCTGGGTTGCCGGAAACTCTCGTACAGGCCAACGCAAGAGCGACCACTGCTGCCTACTTACTCGAGTACGGCCACGGTGCGTTACATCCGCCTGGCACACCGGGGCCGGCGACGGGGGAGGCGAGCTAACTGGACAAAAAAGTAAGAAACCGTAAGCAGCACATCGGTTACATGGATGCGACAAGTTTGCAACGCGCGCCACGGCCAGTTCCCGGGATGTCCGCGAGGCGGCGCCAGCGCGCCGAGGAAGCGGAGGCCACCCCGCTCGCGCCAGAGGCGGACGATACCCTGCCGGCCGCTGCCCCTGAGGTGGGTGCGCCTCTTCTGAGGCGCCGCGCCTCTCCGTCGGGGATGGTCTCGGGTCATCTCGGATGATCTCGGGGCATCTCGGGCGCGCGCTGCGCCTGAAGCCGGCCGAGGTAGGAGGGTAGGGAGGGGGCGCGGATGGGGGTAGGGGCTTAGAGCGGGTTGTGCCGCGCGGCCGGGACGCACGCTGCCGCGCCCTTGGGGCTTAGTTTGGAGCCGTCGTCTGCGGCGACCCTAGAGGCATGGAGATTGCGGTGGGATGTGAGAGTTTCCGCGCGCGGGCACGGCCGAGTGCCACTGCAACGTGCGTCATGAGTTAAAGAAAGAAAAAGAAACCGCTGTGCCCGTGAGCTCGGCCAAAGCTCCACAGCCGAGCACACGACCCCCGAAGCGATCATGCTCATGACGTCCCCGACCAGCAGCGCCACCCGCACGGCGAGCAGCAAGGACGCGTCGCCTGGCCAGCATCGGCCCAGCCCCAACTCCTTTTCCCTCCTCACCACGGCCGACGAGGAGAAGACCGAGGAGAAGGGCGCGCCGCAGGCCGACTCGAAGACTGAGGTGAGCCCCCGTCCCTCCCTCGACCCGCCCCTCCTCCCTCAACACTCTCGAGCTTCAGCCTTGTGCCTTTTGTGGCTGCACCGCACCTCTCCCTCCCCCTCCGGCCACCCGCCCCGAGCGACGCCGCCCACCGCCGCCCGCCGCCGCGCCCCCCCTCCCTCCCGGCCGCCGCCGCCGCCGCTCACGCCCGCCTCCGCGCGCCCCAGGCGCAGCTCGGCGAGGCCAAGAAGGAGAAGAACAAGGCACCGACCAAGGCGAAGAAGAAGGACTGCGCCGCCGGCGTCGCCAACGAGGCTCGCCCCCCCATCCGCCCCGCCTGCCTTCCTCGCTGCCATCGGCCAGCCTATGCCGTGCGCAGCTCTGCATCGCACCTCACTCTCCAGCCTCACTCTCCAGCCGCCCCGTCCCCCGCCACGGCCGCCGCCCGTGCGCCG